GTCAACTAGCCTTCCCTACTGCAAGCTTAATTGCAACTCATAAGCTCGCGCGTTCAATCGATACGCTACTCGAAACGGAATTGTGTAATCTTCGCATTGAATCGTTGCAAAAATGTAATCTTGCACGGTTTGCGAATACGACCCGCGTTCCTTCATATCGGTCAATGAGTTTTTAGCCGTGACAAAACAATATCTTCAGTATTGACTCAGCAATTTCATCAATCAGGTCGACCTCATTGAAAGAAGAGCACGCTCTGGTTTTTATTACTACTCGACAAATTCTTTTTACACATTCCACTAATTGAATTGTCAAAATTCTTCTGGTAAGAATTGAAAAATTCAGAATTTCAGATTGTTTGCCTATAAATCAGGCTTGTGAATAAAGTCGTTAATAGCTAGCGGAAATTTATCAGTGGTGTTACTCTGGTGGACTATTCGGAACCAGATGCGACCGAATATACCTCTGGATATATCAGATCGATACGGCAGTGATACTGTGTGTGGATTACGTAAGCGAAATTGTCGAAAACCAGTGAGCTTCCGCTCGTGACCCAGGCCAGTTTTGACCTTGGCCCGCATTCGGGACTGCAGCTGCGGATGCATCGGCACGACGAGCGAGAGCTGCTCGTTGCTTGTGTGTGTGCATATTGTTTGCCAAAAAGGCGAGCTACCACGCGTTTCAAAACTTGAAACCGTAGGGAGATTCGAAGAGATGACACGACTTACGTCATTAACAAATATTTAAATATAAAAACCTAATCCCTGAGTAAAAATCAAAATCAGGATTTCAAATGATAATCTCAAGCTGAGAATTAAATTCGACTTAAGTCTTACTTTAAATTCATTGAAGAATTTATTCAAATTTCTTTCAATTTTTCCTACTTTACGTATGGGATGAACTATTTTTGATAGCTCCTGTACGTAGAAACCCGGAGAATAAAACCGAGCTTTTCCAAGTTTACGCGAGCAAGCGTTCAACTGTGTTGGAGTGTTTGCAAGCACACGTGCGCACAAGCCCAGCCTGTTCGCGACTCAACAACTGTAACCGTGCCAAGAATTCGCTTCTCTAGCTCCGCTCACCCTTTATCCAAAAGCCAAAGGGGATGAGCCTGACCTCCGACTCTAACGCCACTTCTTTCACAACTACCATGCAAACCTGTGGATAGATTCTGAACCTTCCAACATGCAAGAGACTTCCCAGCCTCCTGTTTAAACATTTTTCAAATATCAAAACAATATCACTTTACGTATATTTTTCTGATTTATTCCAGTTTTTTTTTTTATATAAAAGCATGATATGCTAAGACTTCTACTGGACTCTGTAATTTGCAGACCAATTTGTTCCTTCTAGTCGTCATCAATTAATTAGACAGGCAATTTTCACGTGGGCATAAATTAAGTCATAAAACTATGATGCATAAATTGCTTCGTCAATCTCGTCATAAGGACACGAACAGAGGATGAATCGCCGACTACCATTCAGCGCGGTATTTATAATAATAAATCTCCAAACACCAACGTTTCAACGCAATTTATTATACCCTTTTCGCCTCCTCTCATCTTCGTACTAATAACCCATTATAAATCTCGATTAAAAGCGAAGGAGCCTTCTTAAAAATCCGTCCCCGTGAAGCGAAGTATAATTACCCGTGATTTACGATCCTGTACAGCTCGAATCTACTGATGAACCACGAATTAGCAAAAACCGCGGAAAAAACCTCGATAGAAAAAGTTACGCGTTAACGTCGAACGGTAATAGGGAAATCGTGATCGGTCTTGAAGGACTCAGACAGATTCTTGGAGATTTATGAACGCGCTTAACGAGGCTGCGTAGGATAGAGGATTAGAAAACCATAATTCTCGACGATTAAGCGCGCGGCTTATTTATCGAATGGATCTCATTCGCGTGTGTTACTAGCTTAATAACGGAATCAGCATTCTTAGTAATTCACCTTTACATTTACTGCATAGTTCAGCTTTTGTCTATATGAACGGTACTTAATTTTTAGATACGTGCAGAATGAGTCATAGTAAGAAATTAACCAGTAGTCATTAATTTTGTCTAAATTCTGGCAGAAACACATTTCGATCTGTCGAAACACAAGTATGCATTCGTTCAATGATTTGCATCGCGCAATAAATTCATAGACAGAACGTTTTAATAAAATTGTTTAATACAAAGTTATTACGTACGAGACTTCCTATAGGCTGATCCTATACAATGAGGCATAAGTAAATAACGTATGACAATTGAAACTGTACAGTTAAAAAACTAATTATTTCAGTTTGACAAAGCGTACATGTTTGCTAGATAGTTTCAAAACGTTAAGTGAAGTTACGTATGCGCGTACAAGAGCTAATGAAATACGAATAAACGCCGCTGGAGCTACCCCTAAACGAGCGCGAGAAACTTTTGATACAGCGGCAGCAGCGAGAACATTATTCCTCTTTGAATGCTACAAAACGATCCCCGTCGATGTCAGACCCGTTCATTATAAACTGCGATGTTTAGCAGGAATTTCATAGAAAGTTTATTCTGAACCAGAACGACGTGTGATAGTCGTCATGAAGTATACATGAGAACAAGCGTCGAACACTTTTAACCGTGTTAATACGTATTCTACACATTTTTAAAAGAACGTGAAACATTTTATGAGATGAAATTATTAATGGACTTCAACACACGGGATTAAGTTTTTACAAGGGATTGTGTTCACTCACTACGATCATAATTTAATGCTCGAATGAGATAGAAATTAAGTACTAGCAAAGTGCTGAGGAATACGGTTCTTTCTTCTCACGGTATTTCACTCCCTTTAATCGGCGTTCGACGATTGTTTTTCGGCAATTCGAAGTAACAGAGGAAATACGAGATATCCCGAGGAGGGAAAACAACCTGTACCACGGGGAATCGATTCGACGGAAGAAAAGAGGAAAAGTGGGACGTTAGATTGATATTTACTCGATTCCCAATGCCTCTTAGAAATCGATTAAACCCGATTATTTGATCCTGTACAGGGAAACAAGATTAAATAATTGTCTTATAAATTACTTGTACCATTGAAACCTTCAACGATCAATTCAAAGATAAATTAGATTGCATAATTGGACTTATGCGTTTGTATAGAGAATATAAAGTGTATATGCAACGACGAAAGAAATAGTAAAAGAAAATCTAAATCACATTTTTTATATTGGCACCATAAATGTTTTATTTTTAAGTCTAGTAATGATACGATGCTTCCTGTTAATTTACGGTAGTAAGAGTCAAAGTTTTTCTCAATGTCGGTAATAATCTCTCTGAATTCCCGCTTATTCTTTTCCATCTAGCTCAGACTCTTTTTTCGCTGTTACTCGGCGGGACACGCGGAACCGCTGTGGGCTAAATCCGATTCTTCGACCGCGCAACGACGGGAAGAGGCTTGAAACTTTAACTAGAACCGAGGAGGGGTCCTCCTCGCCAGGTAAAGAGCGGTGGAACTAATTGCACTTTTGACTACTCCGGGAAACTGCACCGTTAAATATTGCCAGGCGATGGAATATTTCATTAACCGAGAAAGTTTCCTCCCTTGACTTCGGGCGATTCTCGAGTGTCTTCCGCGAGGCAGTCGTAATATTCGGTTCATTCCTCTCGATATTCGTCAATCAGGGAGAAACCAGTTTCTCTATCTCGCTGTATACTGTCTCGAACTTTCAATTGTATAGATTTATGGAGGCGCGCGTAGCTTCGACGTGAATTTATATTGCAAGCTTCCGTTTCGTAGAAGATTAAGTTCGCTTACACTGTTTATCAAATATATTATCAAATTGTCTATTCCTTTGGCCAATCGAAGAAACTTCCCAGATAGTATTTCAATTAAATTAAATTTCAATAAGAAGAATATATTAATCAAAAACGAATAAATTATTGTCGTCATAAATTTCCATATCGTTTTCCAAATGTTTGCAGCCTTCTCTGCCAAGAGTATATCATTAGGCATTCCATCTATCAACAGTGCAATTGCAAACGCCAAACCAATCGCTTAACGCTCAGCTGATTTTGACCGGCGCAAAGCGCAACATTGTCAGGAAAGGAAGGGTTGAACGGGTTGCAACTGGGAATCGGTACGGCAGAGCTTCCTTAGCGTACATAATGCGTCCACAGCAATCCTGTCTCTGGCAGCTGGACCGATTCGATAAGCTCTTAATCCATCGGCAATTAGTCCGCACACCGGCCAACGCAACGTCCTTCAACCCCGAAAGCTGCGCAACTCCCTGCCGTAAACAATCCCTGTGTGCCCACCCAATCCCGTTTCCCTCTCGCATTCCCCTCCTCTTTGTCACTGGTAATTCAACAATCCTCGTGACTGTATAATTAACCGACAATTCGCGTGTGTTTATGCGCAGAATGCAGCTACCATCCAGTACACGAATCTCTGATTCTGATAACGAGTAAGGATTTCGTTAAACAGTCTTGTTTACATTCAGATTTTTATCTACCCCAATTTATTTCGTTTATCTGAATCGAACCGAAACAGTTACATTAAGAAAAAAAAAAAGATAAGAAATAACGCGAAGCACGCGTGACCCAGTTTCATTTAAATGGGGAATTAAATTTCCTTCAGGATTTGCCATACTTCGAACGTGTACGAACGATATAATTTATTATGTACAGACGAGGGATGCAGCATTCCCTCGAAATTTATCTGTACCTCTTTGTACGGCGCGTTCGGTCCAATTCTAGAGCAAGCTAACAAAGAACCGGACAAAAGACGAGGGGAAAAGTGGAAAGTACACAATGTAAGCGTCGCGTGCGCCACGCGTTCGGTTGATTCGTTTTAAAAAGAAGCGCGCGTGACGTACTGGCTCCTTATTTTTCGGAACGAATCGAAAGAGATTCCGAAAAGAGAGTGGGCGGAAAATGAAAGAAGTGGCTTCAAACGGAGAGGGTGCAGCCACTTCGTGCTCTCTTTCGTCGGTGAGAAAGAAAAGCGTGTATAGTGTACTTCGAGAGAACTCACCGTGATACGTCCTCCTGGGAAACAGCTCGCGGCGTAGTCGCTCCGTGAAGTGCGAGAGAAGACGCGTGACGTGATTCTTGCGAATACGGCAGAGTCGAGTTGTTCTCCAGCGCCGACACAGATCCATTTTGCTTCCCTGTTAACAGAACAAAAAATAATTTCCATATTATTTCGTCTGGACCAAACCTCTGCGTAAAATTTGCGTACATTTTAGTCTGTATATAATTGATTTCTTGAACTTCTTACAAATGAAATTCATACAATTTTAAAAAGATCGTTCGCCGGCCAATGCCTTCATTCGCAGAGGATGATTAAAATGCAAATACTCGAATAAGAATAGTTAATTGAAACATAACTCGAGCGAAAAAAAGGAACGTTTGTGTACCGCCTCGCGGTGGCTTGTAACTTCCTGCGCGGAATGCAGAAAAGTTTACGAGCTCGACTTCATGAGCGCGATGAATAAGTTACGACCGATCGTTGACGCGGGACAGGAAAGCCGGGGAAATTCACGGAGAAGTACCGGGGATCAAAAATTCATTTGGACGCAGCCGCGGAAGAGAAAAACGGGGAATCTCCTTGCTGATCATTCACCGCGGTATATTTACTGGTTTCTCGGAATTTAAAGTATTATGGAAGTATTAGGAATACGAGAAACTGAATCGACGTTTAAACAGCAATGAATATATTCAATAACCATTGACGTTCATAGAGAAACCTTTCCCCTGCTATGAATATTACATTTTCATGAATTCACGTGATTTTGCATTTTCAATCAATGAATCCCTGCTCCACAAATTTGTATAATGCGAAGCTGAACGTAGTTTAGAACGCTTATTTTTCAAAGGAGAAGAATCTCGTGTCCGGTGGACACGAACAAAAGTCAACACTTTCTCGCGCGACGGCTAAAATATTTATCGTTCTAGAAGGCGACGTCATGAAAATTCGAGGAGAAAAGGATTCCCGAAAATGGTCCCGGCACCACCCGGAGAAGAAAAGTCGTCGCAAACACGGGCAATCCACGCGCGACGCTGAATAATATATATTACGAAGGAAATACGTGTAAAAGGAATGGTCGCGACTTACGTGGCTGCGGCGAGAGCGAATTGTCCGAGGCCATCGGGGGTGGCGGCGGCGGGACGATTCCGGTTTCCGGCTTCGCTACCAGTAGGACCACGCGATCCTGAGTCGCCTTCAGCGTCGCCACCGCTTCTTCGTGCGTCACATTCTCCAAGTTTTTGTCGCCCTGCTGGAATTAAACGAACCCTCTCCCTTACCTTCTTCTTACGATAGATCGAGTATAAGCATAGATGCATTTCATTACGTGATTAACAACAACGATCAATCTCCCTGTTTTCTTATCACGTTTTATGCGTATATTTGAAAGAGAAGAAACCGTAGATCAGATTTTATTAATGAAACGCTGGAACAAGAAATATCGAACATTTTTCTTTTGGTTCGTTAGTTCATCATCCTTTATTAACAGCGTTGCAGATTTCACGGATATTCGCGTGAATACAGAGCCTCTACGCCCGTTTTTGCATCCCGTGAAGTATTTTCTCTTCATTCATCAGCCAGCGACCATTCATCTTAATTTCCTAAGGTATATTCCCTTTCATCGTCCCTGTTCGTCGCGCGACTAGAGATAAGAGAGCCGGTGCAGTCGCGCAGGAAAACGCGAGAAAACCGGTCTCCCCTCGCGCGTATCGATCAAGATTTCGCGAGCCGCGGTAATTGATTTCTCCCGTTCAATTTCACCCGTCAATCATCGTTCGTTTACCTCTCGCGAAGCGCTTTCAAATGGATTACAGAACAAATATTGCGAGAGTTATGCGTTTGCTTATTACTGGCGGTGACTGCATTTAAGCGTCGTATCGTCGGTGTTTATCTTTCATATATAGTACAAAGCAGAATATTCAAATCTTTTCTGGTATTAAATTAGAAGGTTGTTTAAACATGCGTTACCTCTGTTACGGATATTAAAAGAAAAATAAACGTTGGCTAAAAAAACGAACTGAAAAAAATAACTGAGGACAAATATCCCCGTTACTTAAACAAATAACGCGTATGAAACTTCTGACCGGCAATATTTAACGTTTTTTTATCTGTTTCCGCTTTTTTCCAATTTCCGGTTCTATTCATCCAATCAGATACGCACACGCGTGAAGAAACGAATCTGGTCACAGGAAATAGAGCAATATCGCGTCGGACAATTATCCTTGTAATCCGTCGACTGACGCACAAGAGGATAAGGGCGGCACTAAGTTCCTTGAACGTGTCATAAACAACCGACGAACTTTCTGCAACGTTCGTTCTTTCCGAATAAGTGTATGCCACGACACGCAATCATCCCCGAAGTTAAATCGACTTGTCTCTCAGCGAAACTTTCAGATAATTTGTTTCTCGAAACGAGTGGCTCGATCCATTTGCCTCCTCTTTTTTCGAACAATTTATTTTCGAATCGCTTTAAAACCAGCAACGTTGGATTTAAGAGGGACCGTTTAATAGTCCCGGATGCTCAGGGAGAGAGAATGGCCATTCTCACGCGTTTTTAAATCATGCCTGTCGCAGTTATAAATCAAGACCGGTCGCTTTAATCGCGGCTTTTTCGACCGACGCGATTCTCTCAGGATTTACCGGACGAAGAAAAGGGAACTCGCCGATGCGAAAAATCGCGGAGAGCTGCGAAACGACGACAACGGGCCGTGCTCCGCTGACGGATGACCTATCAATTACTTGTCGCCATCGAAAACCACTCTCATCTTTCACTCTCCTTTCGTTCATGGAGCATCAATCGTATCAGAGATTTTTTTAAATCGAAACATCTAAATATACGTCTTGACACGTGTTTAATTTAAAGTGAAGAGTATATCTTTCATTACTGATTTTAAATTGCCTTTACGGTTCCGTTCTACTATATCTAGTTACTGAAGAATGAAAGGCATTACGAAAAGACTCGTTTAAGAAGAATCACGCGATTACGGTTTTTTCTTCAAATGAAAAATGTATAATTCTTTTGTTCGGAACGAACCTATTTCGCATGAAGAATAGTCTAATCAAGGCCAGGTTTCTTTCCAAGACCGGCTACGTAGAAAGAAGTAAGGGACCATCAATCAGATTAAAAGCGCGAATGACACTCGCTAGCTGCAGCGCGAAGAACATAAAGAATTAAGCTAACGAAAAAGTATCTCCCAATGAAAAATGGACAGAATGTACTAGCGAGTGAGGATTAAGGGTCAGTAATCGAATGTAATCAGTAGAGAAGTATAATTTTTGCTAGACTCACCAGAGCGTTTCTGACGGCTACCAATTTGTCTCCAACGACAAGACGACCGTCCACTTGCGCAGCACCGCCTTCCATAATTTTCGTCACGTAGATCCCATTGTCGCCTGGTATATGCTGATTGCCAATACCTCCGGCTATACTGAAACCGAGGCCCTTGTTACCTTTGATTAGCTCAATTTCGACCAGCTGCGTGTGCCTCCTCCGGCGAACATACTGCAAATTAAGTAAAAAAAAAAACTTTGTCAAATCATTTCTATTACGTTTAGTTTTTTAATACATTTAAGTCCGGCGATAGGAAGCATCTTTCAGAAATCAAGTAAGAGACTACGAGCAAGCGTCTCTTAAGAATGAAGACAATATTTTTCCCAGTTCAGGATCAAACGAACGAACCAGACAGGATTTACGTTTTCACGGGGGGTGGTTAGCAATTCCAAAGGTAAATCGCGCGCCCAGCCGCGGTAGAGCGCAACAATGAATCCACGTAATTAAACGGCTGTCTGAGGGTGCCGACGAGTGAGAAGAAGATATCCTCACCCCGTCTCTCTCTCTCTCTCTCGCGTTTCGACGGAGGATTTATAAACCGGATTCATCTCGCACGATCGTCATTCCCCTTTTTTCCTCGTGGCCGATAAAAGCTCGATATTTATCACCGAAACCGAGCAAACAAAAGCTCATGGCTAGCACCGTTCAATTTCGAGGAATGAAATGGACCGTTACAAACAGAGATAATTAAGATCCGCGCTATCGCGGTGGTCCACCGAAACGCAACACGACATGAATTGAATTAAATCGGCCCGACAGGGAATGGCATTCAAGTTTTGCTAGCGTTAAGTCCCTCTTTTTAAAGGGCCTCCGAAGAGGCCTTAACGAGCCTTTCGAGGATATTGCGGCCAGGCGAGATGATAATATCCAGCTCGTAAAACGGTTTTATGCCTCGCGGCTCCCGTGACTGCTTTCCAAAGGTTAATAACGCGGACGCTCGTGTGAACGAGAGGAAAAACGTTGTTCGATTGGAAAAATTTTACGCCTCTAGAAAACAATATGTCCCAAGCTCTGTGTTAAAAACTGGAGAAATTCTCGAGTGCGAAATTTATTCGGCCCGCATTTTCCTCGCCCATTCAAATGCTAAAGCGGGGAAGTGTTCGGTCGGTCGAGAGGAGTATTTTAAAAATTTAACGGCTCTTGCCTCGCGACTTAAACCTCGCCTCGCGACGCGCTGTGAAAATTCATTTATTATTGAACGTAAAAAAGAAACTCGTACGCTTTACACTAACCTCAGTGATTTTTAAAGCGGAACGTTTTATCGTTAGGATCGGTATTATCGCGTTTTTATTTTGTAGAGACGAGCCGCGTTTATTTCTCGGGGAAGGAAACCTCTTTTCCCGCGAGATATATAGTAGAGCATTGTCGTCGCGGCCGCGATTATCTCGCGTCGAGCCACCAGATAATAATTGGACGTCTAAAACGGATTCCTCTCCACCCGAGAGCCGCCTTCATTGTTCCCAGGGATCTTTCAAATCTCGCGTCATTTGTTACTTTCTTTCCATTTTTAATCGTCGTCATCAACGAATTTAAAAATAATACGCGAGACGTACATGCATTTCTAGAAGTGGCTCGAGTTTAAATTACACGGTTTCGATCCGATAGAATTTATTAGCTACATATTGGAACAGATTTGGTACACACGCGGCCTGTCTCCTATAGTCGATTCCCATTGGGACAATCGCTCAAATGTTGTGGCAAGTCGTTAGGGTTGCGAAGCAAAGTTTCCGAACAGTTTACTACACGTTCCCCAGATGTAGGTTAATTCGTTTTCCCGGGAGGAGCGTATTCACTTTTACGACGTTACGATTTCGAAAGATGCTTTTAAATCAATATAGTTCAAATATTTCCGTCTTTCAAAAACTACTTAGTCTATTAAACTTGCAAATCTTTGTAAAATTCTACACGTTCTGATACAGTGATATTCATTTTAATAGCCTCGAATAGTCGACATTAATTGTACGTAGGAAATTATATACAGATATGTAAAATTGTTAAATGCATAATTGTTGTAAATAACTTTTCTCTGATTTATCGCAAAGCATCATTTAACTGTGACTATGTAAATGGATCCAACTTTAGTAATCAAGAATTTCCAGTTCCTTCCTTTCACGTAAGCTTTTTGTTTGAAACTATTCATATGAAGATCACTGCATTTATGCAACAAGAAGCAGAACTCCAAGACGCTTCAATTCTTAAAGTACGTATTAATAGACGAATCTCATTAGAACTTACGAGTTTGACGGTGTTCCCTGCGCGTTTGAGAGCGTCGACGGCAGTCGCGTGAGCTACGTCGACTACAGACGCGTCGTTCACCTGGAGTATCGTGTCGTTGACGCGGAGGCGGCCGTCCGCAGACGCGGCACCGCCCGGTATAAGTTTCGTGATGTAAATGGCAGTGTCGTTGCCGAAATGTGGATTGTCCGTGCCCCCGGCGATGCTGAAGCCAAGTCCAGCGCCACCCCTCTCCAGCACGATCTCCTCGTATTCCCAATCATCGTCACCGTTGACCTGCGATCAAATTATTTCCACATTAGAAAAATTAAACAAATACCCAGATCAATGTCCTTTTATAGCGTTTAAAAAAATAGATTAAAAATAACGTATTAAGAAGTTTTCTATCTGACTGAAAATATTATGCACAAGAATTAGGTATGCGCCATATTGCACAAAAACTTTGAACACGATCTGGTGTTGGAATAATAAAATTTAATAAAAACTAAAGGAATCCGAAGATAATCAAAAGAGGGCGAAAAGAATGGAAGTTGGTGCCAATGGAAAACGGAGATTACATCGGTAATCCTGCACGGGTCACTTCCTAATTACGCGAGGGACTAAGTTTCCCGCAGAGCGAAGGAGTTAACTGGTTAATTGATTTTGAGACCCACAGAGGAGTGGATTAGGCCGGGGGTCTCTAGATCGATGCTGGTGGGCTATGGTAGTTTACCACGCGAACACTATTATCGTTTAGCGACGCTAGGATCTTTTACACCTGTAAGCGTGTCATGGAACGAGACGAGAATTTCCAAGTGTTTCCAAGCACAATAAGGAACCGTGCACTTCCTGACGGTCCATGCAATCAGATCTCTCATGCAACCGTTCGGACAAAATGCACGTGGTAACATTACTTCAAACAAAAACTAAAGATGAAATGTTTCACGGAATTAGCTAACGCTCGGCATGAATCACTGCTGTACATTTTTAAACGGAACCCAACAGTTCCTTGAAGGAACAGCCACGTGTCCCAATATTTTGTCGAATCGCCTTTCCGCATTTATCCAACAGTCTATAAACGAACGGTTCCACGGAATTTGTGAATCACGGCTGGAGATCATAACCGAGTTTCTCGAATCACTGGGAAAGCGTATCGAGGCGTTGGAAGGATCGCATACCGAAATGCGTTCCGCATGCGGGGATCGCGATGACCTGCGTGCAATCACGAACTCCGCGACGCGTTTGATGCACGCGTCCACCACATATTGCCTGCGGAATCGTGAATTAATCGTCCCCGAATTACCATTCCACGAAGGCCCTGGACAGATGAAACGCCGTAAGGGTCGTTACCGGAAGTCCCTGTTACGACCCGGTAACGGACTCCGATCCGGGATGCTACGTCGACGTTACAATGCAATTATGGCGGCGACTGTCGCTCGGTTAATCGACGATTAGCGGCTACGCCTCGATGAATGGCGCCCATAATTAATCCGACTAAGCGATGGAAGAAGATCGAGTCCTGCGCCAACGGCGACACGCATTGCTTATGGTGCTCGTCTGATAAGCGAAGCATAGGACACGAATGCATCACTGGACGACTCGAAAATGGGACGTGATCGTGATTTTGTAGTATCTTAATAATGATACAAGCATTACATCGTAAAAATAGAAAAAAGACTGATAATGATTATCAGAACATTGAAGAGGTATTCAAGATAGAATCACGTATTTACAGAATTGAGTCAGTAATGAGATAAAAAACGACACATGATAACAATTCTATGGTTCCTTAGGATATAGCTAGTAACAATGAAACTGAGCCAGCTCGGGCTTGTGTTAGTTTCCTCTAGGGTGACAAAATTCAAAACGACTAATAAGTCTACATCTTATTTTTCAATACTCGATCTGGCATCGATACTGTTGACTTATTATTCGAATTTATAATATATAATACTTAATATTTGAATTTTATCCCCCTAGGGGAAATTAACACAAGCCCGAACTGGCTGAGTTTCATTGTTACTAGCGTACAAGAATATCTCGTAAAGAGACATCCATGCGAAAGATAAAAACGAAGAAGATAATTCAAGTATTATGATAAGCGGAACAGTTAAGTGCATCTCGTACAAAATCCATCTCTAAGACAGAAACATATTTACGAGATTTAACCAGCAATGGGGTAGAAAAACCAACTTCCGATCTAAATTGCATCCTACTATATTTTAGCATCGATTTACCATTTTCTGCGGCCCGTTTACCATGGCGGCTGTCATCGCGTTCGCTGACCTGACGTCGTTAACAACATTTTAAAACACCGATAACAACGTCAATGGCTGCCGTGGCAGGGGTTCCACGCTTTCATCGCGCAGTCCACTCGAATAGCGTAGGTACACGCCGGATATCGATGTTCGTATATCACCGGTTTTTATCGCGTTACCACATCCCGAGCAGCGCGAAAAATTCACCGACACTAGAACACTTCCCGGTCGAGGCTACACTCGCGACCGGCCACCCAGTTTTTCGTTGCCCCGAGAAAATCTCTTTCCCTGTCCGTGGGAAAATAATGCACAGATCACGCGGATTACTGGTGACGCGCTCGACAAAAAGGTATTACAGAGTAATAATCGGTATCAGACCGTTGCGTAACGCGGAAACTCCACGTTAGCTAACACGGATTAAAACGCTATTGGAACATCTATTCCGTAGGTGCATTTATACGTGCATTTAAAGTTCCCAAAAGGAGAATCTTATCACGTTCGCAAAATGTTTATGATGAAAAATTCTGAACATTATTATGCCACAGTATCCTTGAACACTTCTGAATATTCACGTTCCGTCAAGACATTTGTACTTCGAGTGCAACGTGATATAGTAATACAAGATTCATCGAGTGATGACCCACGTGATTCCGCGTTTCGTAACCGAAGAATAGCTCACGGAATAGGAAACGAAAAGGACGTAACTCGGTGACTGGAAAACGCGAAACTGCGACAATCCGGTTGCGACGACGAGCAAAAGAACAGTAACGTTATCCGGTCGCGTTCTCGTTCCCGCGTCGCACGCTTGAAACTGGCGAACGTCTCGACTCGACTGTGCTCGCGCGAGCCTCGCCAAGTCATCGCTATTATAATATTAGACCAGTGGCCGGCTATTTCCAACCGACTGTGAAAATATACCAACGGCACGCGTGCTGCGCGTACCCGAGGGACCGAAAATAAAGGGGTTCGTGGTCAGTCACTCGGCTCGGCTGATCGACGATTTACGGTTCTGTCAATCGAGCATTAAGCGAGCGTCCGATGATCCACCGTTGATCTTTGTTCACTGTTTTGTATACATTAAACGCGGACGCATATGGTTACAGATTCAGCTTCTCAGAGAGCAAGAAAATACTCTAAGATTGTAAAAATAGAGGTGAGAAATGTGCTGGGAGATTGTATAATACTGTGATTCACACAACACTCTGTTTTCTACACGAAGGAGTAAACTGGCAGGTTTCAGATTGAAGAGAGAAATCGAACATGAACTGAAAACGTTTTTCAAAAAATATTTTAATATCTGTCAGTCATAATTGTGGACAATGAAACAAGCTTCTTTTAACAACAAGCATCTTAGCTAACGTAAACCAGATATTTCAAATACACAAACGAAGGGATCGAAAACTAATAATATTAGTGGTTCAATATTTAAGTTTCACAGATTGATGCCGTCGCGTCGGTTGAGCACAACAAGCACCGAGTTAATTCAGGCACGCGGGTAACTCTGTTAGCAGAGCTTGCGGAAGTTCGGATGGATTCAGGATTTCCACGCGAGACTGTCTTGGCTCGAGAAACTCGAACAGGCCGAGCCCCGTGTCGCATCCGCGATTCGAATTAACATCGAAACGGCGCCGGCTATATTCGCTGGCCTTTGTCGGAACCCGCGGGTAAAGATAGCCGCGTTTTCGTGGCGAATATTCGCGGTTTTCGGGCCAGGCCAACCTTGGAGTTAATTACTGTTGCACGAATTGATGCAAGACGATTTTCCTCCTCAATCCAAACCATTTTTCATCCTTAACACTGTTTTGATATATCAGTATTTTATTTCATTAATCGATGTTTGGGAAAAAAAAATGTCTTTTCCATCATGGAAAGTTGCTTGATAAATATTGTACATAATATTTCATCTCTTCATTCGCTATAACGTCTATACAGGTTTAATTACTTCAGTTGTATTCTAACGGAGGCCGTAAATTTCGGATGTTTACACTAAACGGCTGAAAATTTAATTAACCCGCCGAGGTTTCTCTACAAAGCCTCGCGCCGGCGATCTTGGATGAACAATAAAATTTTCCCGGGCTTCTCTGACGGTCCCCGAAAAGTTTATAGACGCGCAGAGCTGTACAAGCACGAATTCTGCCGGAGCGATTCGACACAGGCAGCGGAGTTTAACGACGAATGAAATTACCGGGTGTATTCGACAGGAATGCCTTCGGTCCTCGCCCTCGGCATCATAAATAGCAGAATCCCCTAAAAAGGGTTGCGGCCTTCGCGTTGTTATTAAGGGCGCGCTAAAGATCATCGGCTCTCAAGTGACACAATAAAATCCTGAGGAATATTTTAATATCTGAATAACGTTGATTATCGTCATAGTGATTGGAACAATAGCAGACTTTTTACGAGTCGTTCATTGCGGAATAAGACGGGTCAGAATGATTCTCCGTATACCATTCAAAATGAAATTGAAATACTGTGTATCACGGTGAAATTTTCACCGGCGGAAGAGTTTTTCCATTATCAGAACATGGAAGTTCCCAAGTCGGCGGGAAATATTAATTTCCGCGTGTCGGGATAAATTCATGCGACACGAAATTTGCTTTTAAACTTAATACTTCCTCCTCGGCGCCCCGGCGCGAGCCAGGCATATATATTACATCCTAAAGTAACGTAAGTAATGCAAGCGTACGCGTAAGGTGCGTGCAAAAGCCGAGAAACCGAGTCGTGTTTAAGCGGAATTAACGCGAGGAGGTAATCGGAACCTCCTTCGCCGTGAGAGAAACGCGCAGTTGTCCTTTGTCTTACGAAATTGAAAGACTCGCACGCTGCACACGCGTTTACCTCGCGCAGAAACTGCGCGATCCTTTCCCCAAGAGCCACGAGAAATATTTCGTACTCAAATTTCCCCTTGGCTCTTCTAATTAAAATATCCATCGACGATGCTTTAACGGCACATACTTCTTTGTCCCATATAATAAATCTTTCCCAAGATCCAGAATAAGGCATTTTTTTCTTTTTTTTTGATAGAATAATTTTTAACGCAGT